AAAGAAAAAGCCTCCGACCTTAGCAGTGGCAGACACCAGTAGCTCTCCCCAGCCACGTGAAAATATTTTCCCAACCCTATCTCCGAATTAATTAGCAAAAAAACACATTGTGAATTTTAATTCAAAAGGGATAAGAGATTCTAAGGCATTCAGAAGAGTATTAGCTACTGCTGTCATTGCAAAAGAGGACAGAAGCTCAAATCTCAGCTAGTCAGGTTTGTATGTTATACACTAATATGAACACTGTTCCTTGTGTTAGCCTTGCAACCTGTAGCTTGGAAAACACTATGTTGAAAACTAGCTTCATAAAACAAACACATTATAAATAAATTTCCTCTTCAAAACAGAGTCAGACTACCTGAGCAAGAGTAATCACATCTTCACAACCATCCCTTGGCACGAACATTTTTGTGTCCTTCTTTGACTGTGGTGCCCAAACCAGCACCCAGTGCTGGAGGTGAGGCCACACAGCACAGAGCACAGCAGGACAACCCCTTCCCTTGGCTGCCAGTGCGGGCCTGACGCACCACCTCCAGGTACAGGTGGCCCTTTGGGCTGTCAAGGCACAACGCTGACTCAGATTCAACTTGCCATCACCCAGAACCCCCAGACTCCTTTCTGTGGGGCAGCTCTCCTGCCTCTTGCCCCCTAGTTTGTGCATACATCCTGGGCTGCCCCACTCTGGGGCAGATTTTGGCACTAGCTCTTGTTCAACTTCATCCACTTGGTGACTGCCCAGCCATCACGTATCTCAAGATGGCTCTGAAAGGCCTCTCTGCCCTTGAGGGAGTCAACAGCTCCTCCAAGGCCTGCAAACAGACACCATCTGCAGACCAAGCCTTTCCTTGACAAATGAAGCCCTTGCTCCTGTAGAGAGGAGTGTGATTTGAAAGGCTTGAATAACATCACAGGTTTCATTAGCTTGCTTTCTAAATATAAACTATATAAAATACCAAATAAAAGCATAGGAACCAAAGAGTGGCTGTTCATACTATCAGCAAAATGTACTTACTGCCTTCTCCTAGTTGGACCTACAGAGCAGCCTCTGGGAGACTGCTGACATTGCAGAGCACCACCTGGGCACACAGCTACTGCCTTGCAGAAGCCACGCTATTGAAACCATGGAGCATTTCCAAGAAGTGGTTACAAACTGGGAAGAGATTGCTATTTTCTTTTGTTAGTGTTACTTGGGAAACTGATTCTCCCCCAGCCCCATCTGGAGAACCAGAGGGACACCAAGAAGGCCAGAAGGCTATTCAGGGACCACACAGGAAAGGTGACAAATGAACCCCTTTAAATACAGCTCTCTTTGCTTCTCTACTCACAATTAAATACCGGTGGCCCTGTGCAGGACCAACAAGTGCTGGTCAGTGACATCTGCTCTGGCTGCGCCAGCCAGGCTCTGGGTGCCACACAACGATGTCACTGTGATGACACATGGGCATTACAGTGATGTCTGACAGTCTTCCAGTGGAATCCCCTGATGTTCTCTTAGACTTCACGTGCTGACTGGCAGGGTGAAGTCTGGCTTACCGCAGAAATGCCTCTACGTGAAAACTTTGGTCAAACTGAGATAAGAAAAATTAAAATTGAGCCACCTGAATCTGAAGAAGCTGCCTGAGTCCTCAGACTCCCCTTCTTCTCATCCTCCAGGACAGGATGAACAAGGAACAATATGGGATGCTGCTCTAGCATGGATAAAGAAAGAAAAGGATCCACCAGCTTCTTCTGATGAAGAGGAAACCAAATGTTTCCCTCACATTTCTTCTGAGGAGAGCAAAGCCAGAATCTCCTCAGCACTCAACTTTCCACAAAAACTCTGGCTATCAATTGAAAGTGACCAATTTAAGATGATTTGGTGGAATCATGGTGGAAACTGTGTTGTTATTGATGAAGAAACGTTTAAGCCCCAAGCACTGGGAAGGAAAGGACCTGTGAGAGTTCTTCGGACTGAAAACAGGAAAAGCTTCATACACAAAATTAATCTGTGAAGATTCACCAAAATACACTGTGACTGCACAAGATCTCATTCCATTCCTGAGTCTCTGGCAGAGGAAGAAGCCTTTGCTGCTCACAGGAAGGTACATCAGCTGCTCCATACATAAACCAACTCTCACAAGATTCTGGTGGGTGGGATGAAAGTTTCAAGACAATAAGCTTTAGTAACAGAAGAGAGGTCTGTGTCAGTCAATGTTCTGATCTTTATATCTTTTTCTGTCTGTTTCTGGGTATTTTAGAGGTTGCATTGCTGAACATCAGAAATATAGATAATATAGATTTGAGTTATATCCCAATTTGAACACACAGAGAAGATAAATCAGGATACGATGAGCCTATTTATTTCAATATATTTGCAACATATCTTGTTTGACTTAACCTAAGCTCTGAGATTAATCTGACCAAAAGACCTTTTTACTACCCATCTTTGCCTTCAGCAATTAAGCCTTACTTCCTGTATTTCACCATCTTTCAGTCCCAGACAGCAACTAACTCTTCTCCTCTGCATTTTTCAGTCACTCTCACCCACACTTCCAGAGAGATGATCCATAACTGCCTGAACACTGACAGCAAAGAGTTGCTCTGAGGAGACAGAGGTGGCTGCGCCTGCCCTGCAGGGAGACCTGAACAAGAGCCACCTGAGGAGCAGACCAGGTGCCCAGCCCATGCAGGGAGCAGCTGCTGGGTGAAACAGGAGCCTGCTGGCAGCACCAAAGGAAGAAGGCACAGAAACAGCAGCACCCATAGGGCCCCACCACTCAAGCGCCCTAAGAAAGCCACCACCCAAACCAGTGCTGTTCCTGCCTCACCAGACCTGCTGCAGCAGCACAGAGGCAAACGTGCCAGCCTCTGGCCCCCTCCCTGCTGCCACCAAGTCGCAGCCTCTGCTGCTCGCTTCTGCTCCTCCATCTGACACGGGACACAGGTTTACAACCATCCCAGCACAGCAGGAGCTTCCCCGGCACCCACAGGCAGCAGAGCGGCAGCTCCTCAGGCCCTCCTCACCTCATCCCTCGCAGCAGCCGTGCAGGGCAGCTCCGTCCTGCCCCAATGGCACCTGCAGCTCTCACCGGGCACAGGCAGGGGACGGGCCGGCACCCAGGTGGGACCCACTGCAGGCAGCATCACCAGTAATGAGTTTGTAAGTTAAGAGGTCATAGACAGTTCTGGAAAGATGTTTAGAGTAATAAACCTTCTGCATTATCAGATACTTTCATTTATTTATCTAATTATTTATTTAATAGTTCTGGGAATAAAATGTTTGAATAACTAATCTTTCCAGCTGTCATGTCCTTTTAGTCTCTCTTTCACTTATTTAATGGTAAAATCTCAGAATTTTGTCTCTCAAAAGGAAGTAGAAGCAATGGCTCTAATATCAGTTGAATGGTTTTCTGTAAAAATCAAGCTTTAAATTTTTTACTTGTGGAGATACACAAATAATAATAAGAGATAGCTTCTCTTATAAAGTATTTTAAGTGGCATTTCCTGATTCATACTGCTATCAATCATGAGCTGTACCATGGCAGTGCTGATCACGCCCTATGGGAATGTTTTCAATATATAAGTAAGTCTGAAGTTCACATCAGAGATGCAACAAATTGCCAAAATAGGAGCTCTATCTTATTGACAGGCAAATGCACACAGCAGCCTGTTTGGTATGTGTATTTTAGTTCAAATTTTATCTTTGAACTTGAAGTTTACCTAAGAGAATGTTTCACAAATAGGTTCATGAAAGAATTACTCTCAGAAAAATCCCTTACTGAAAGAATCAATTATTTATAAAAATACCACTCCTAAAGCATGGTATGCTTTCACCTGGTGCAGATTTGCAGTCCTAACGGCAGTCAGACAGGCATTTGATCGGGTGTCAGAAAACCAAGCAGGTGTCTGGAACGCAGTTAATCTAGAAAAGCTTAGAGTTCTGATTTGCCAGAAGGGTAGAAGACACAATTTAATACAGACAAATTCTCCAGTCACCACCACACCCATATGCAAAAGCAACAATATCACCAGTTTTGTGTCCTTTCGCTTCCTTCCTGGGGCATCTGCCAACTAGCCTCTGCATCCGTACTACCCAGCTCCTTGGTTGTGGCTCTGAAGAAACCATATGTTTCATACATCTATTGCTCTGGGAAATAAACTGCTTTCAGAAATGTCATCTAAAAGCTGGGGGTTTAACTGCTGCCTTTAACTGCCCTTATTCCACAGCTAAAAATGTCTTAATGGAAACAAAAAGTAACTGTATTAAAAATACATTTTCTTCAAAAGAAGAGGGAATTGAGATGCCATCTGCACTGCTTCTGGCTGCCGTTCAGCTCCTTAAAATGAATGCCAAATTAACAGCAGCACTTCCCCCTCCCTGCTTCCTTCTCCATCTCATAGCTCGCTTTAAGTTTCACCCAGAATCCTTGGGAAAACAAAGAATACCACCTCTGCAAAAACTTCAGCAGGGTTTGTTTTTTTCTGTGCTTATTCTCTATGGCTGTTACAACTTCCCCATGACGTTCCCAAGGTCTTGGCTTCCCTGCAGGCAGGAACGTTGGCTAGAGCAGGTTGGGCAGAAATTCCTGCTGGATTCTGCTATGATGCTGCTTGCAGTTTCTGGTCCCAGGCACAATTATTTGGTGCTGGGCATCTCCTTGGTCTCCACGCATCTGCCTCACTTCCCAGGTACATCCTTCAGTCAGGATCTTCATGTTCTCTTTGGGCGTCCTTTTCTCTCTGGAACCCCTCTCTCAGCACCAGCTCTTCCTTCTGGAAACCAAGCTTCTCCAGCCCAGCAAGAGTACATAGTGAGGCTATTAACTGTGGGCATATCTCATTATTCTATCAGTTCAAGGATTCAGGATGTGCTACTTGCACTTGATTCAGGTGTTATCAACTTTCCAAGCAGTGGTATCAGAGCCTGAAGATTCTTTAGAGCTGGAAAGAGGAAGAAATCCTACCAACAGTCCAGGCTGAGGTACAACACAGTCACAGGAGACTGGTATTGGCCTGGGAGGATGTTTCACCACTTGGCAAAGCCTTGTTTCCATCAGTTTCCACATTCAGCATCCAAAGCTACAGTATTTGCACCAGTTCTGTCCATTCGTGATTGCTGCAGTCTAGAGCAAGAACAAACCAAGCGCAGCACGAGCTTGTAAAACCCATCCATTCCAAGCACCAACTCAGTGGTATCTTCTGATACAACTGAATTAGTTCTATCTACAAGCACAGAGGTTGCCTTCTCCTTTTCTTTAAGTGAAAGAAGCCTCCAAGGAGCAATGAAGACCTCAAAAAAAACAAAGGCTGAAACACAAACATCATTTAACAGCTTGTTTTGCTGCATGCCTCATGGACTTACACAGTTCATGGTGACGTGGTTATCTATCACCCTATGGTTGTTACAGTACTTTACAAAACAGCCAGCTCTCACACAGAATCATAGAATGTAAGATGCCATTCAACATTATCAGCATTTGAGATAAGTTACATGTCACCAATTTATATGCAAAATGATTCCAATTCTCCTCTGTTTCTTGACAGTTTGGGCTAAAGATTGGTGTGGAGCCACTTGGGCATGGAGAGTGGGATATTTTTAAGCTCGATGAACGTTCCTTTCCTTTGATAGTGTGTCACTGCAGCTGACTAGTGAGAGTCAGCCACGCATACACATGTTGAGCATTCAAGACATTTGACTTGGTTATATTTACAGAAAGGCTGGTCTTGTAAGTGCTTGTAATTAAAAGCCATCCACAAAATACAAGCTAGGTGAATTGGATACAACAGTTCTCTAAAACAGTGTAGAAGGGGGACAGCTGAAGAGCAATGGAGTCTATAAGAGAGACAGATTGTAGTTTGACTTGATTGTCTTCAGGATTTAGTAAGTCCTTATCTTTATCTTATTTTTCATACTCCAATCCATACCTAGACTCCCCTAGGCAGTCACAATCCCAGTGTCTCTCTCCTATTATTAAACAGAGCTGTGAAAAATATCTTAGCCTATACTCAGAAGACAAAAAAAAAAAGATGAATGAATAACCTACCATACAGTTTGAGAATATCGCTGCTGCTTGGCAGTCACATATACAGATGGAGTAAGAGCTCCTTTATGTCCTTGTTTACATTATCTAGCAAGAACTCTGATAACTCAAGCATTAGAGCACTTGCATTACAGATTTCCTGCTTTAGAAAGAGCCGTATCAACTATTGGAATATGAAAACTGATCAAAATTCTGAATTAAAAACAACAGACCCCAACAGTTTTCACCCCTGGGAATACATGAAATTGCAGTTCTGATCAGAAAACTGCGCTGAACTTCCAGAAGTACTACATCACAACCTCCAATTATTACTTCTGCCTTTTGTAGAGATCTTCATTATTTCATGACAAATAAGTAGTACTGTATAATGATATATTACTTCTATTGAAGCCAGTATATGGATAATCCATTATTTTCAAAGTCCTCCAGGGCAATTTCTGATTAGTACTCAATTTTTTTCTATTAAACGGTTTGACAAAAGAGCATGTAAAATAAAATAAAATGTTCCTATACTCATAGCAGCAGACGTGAAATATTTAAACTGAAATACACCTTTTAAAAAATTATTTATCAGTCCACTAGTTTTTCCTTGAGAAGTTTCAGATTTATTTTTTTCCTCCCTATCAAAAGGGATAAAACTGGGTGTTAAAAATAAGTTCCAACTCTTGATGTTCACACATGCTTCAGCAAAGTTAATACCTAAATAGCTCTGACAGCTGTATTCATGAGCCAGCAAAGCCAGGACACAGGCACAGAGCACACAAGTGAGCCTTATCAGCAGGCACTGGTCCCCAATATGCAGGAGGGACTCTGCAAACACAACCGGCTCCACACTTGCCCGCACATTTCAGGATCTCTCCTCCCTGCGGCCACCCTCCACTAAAAGCACTTTTCATTAAAAAAGTAAGGAACAAAGAGAAGAAAGGAAAAAAAACAAAAAGAGAGAGTTAATCCCTTCAGCTGAATATCTTCTGCTTGCTTTGTGCTGCACTACCTCAGCATGAACCAAAACCCTGCCTCTCCCTGGCCCATTCTCTGCAAATGAGGCACAAAACCCAGAGGTGGTTAATGAATATGCTGCAATTTTTTTTTCTTCCAGAATCAGCACAATGTTGCTTGGCACAGGTGCACTTTAACAATGATAAATCTGGAAAGTTCACATTGATTAATTACTCTGATTTTCACATTCACCCATCTTACACAATGAAAAGGCAAATCAAGCTGTTGGAAGTATCTCTCTCTCCACCTCCCTGATATTTTATGCTGCCCTTTTCTCCTTTTTTTTTTTTTTAAAGGAAACAAACAAACAATAAAACCCTGTTTCTCAGCATCTATTTTTAGTTGTAACGTTTTGGAACACACAAGCAGAACTGGATTCTCTTAAAACATAGTTCTGAAAGTAGAAAAGAAGAATTTAGAAAAGCTTCTAGAACAGTTAACGAGTTCAACAGTCACTTCCTTATGTTTGGGAATGTGCCACCAGCCCATCATCAGAACATCCAGGCATTTTCCACCCAATAAAGACAAGCATTGCCAGCTTTCCTACTCATCTTCATGGAACTAGGGACTTTTCAGGTATCAGGCCAACAAACAGCATAAGGAGTGATCACTAGATACCCTGCAGGAAAGCAACACCTTTTCAGAAGTAAAAGGGCTTCTGATGTTTCTTCAAAGGGATCAGATTCAAAATAAGCTCCGTATCAGCTCTGATCCACCACCAGACCTTTCACTACAAAATGCTCCGCACCTTTCCATTTGTTTTGATGGTTAATACACAGCTGCTTAACGTATAAAGAGCTAATCTAAACTGCACTAGAAGCTACTGTGCCCTGCAAAGGCTATCGGAGATCCACCAAGTTATTTAAATTAGATATAAAAGGTCCTACCTTCAAAAAAGACAGTAATTCAGTGAATTTTCAGGATGCCTAGAGCTCTAGGAAGAGAAGATCTTTGCAAAGATAAATAGATCTACTGCCTAAGGGATATCAAGCAAGTTCAGAATTGTTACATGCTCTATCATTATTTCCACAAAATAGGACTTTTGGGACTTAAGCAAATAATTGTTCAAACACTGCTTCCAAAACTTAATCCTCCAAATCCACATATCACAGGAGTATAAAAATCAGACCTTTTGATTCAACTGCTAACAACTCCAAGGCCATCTACACCCAGATGTGAAGTAACGCTGTCACCCTCTATGGAACGAAGTAACACTTCCCCCCCTACATGAAGCAAAACACAAGAGCAGCTTGATTACCACTCTCAAATTCAAAACAAGCAACACACCAGAGTAAGGCATGTGACTACATAAAAATAATAATAATAGAACAGAAAGCATCCGTAATTACTTAACATTACAAGCCTCAATTAAGAATCCTTAGTTAACTGTGGTTTTTGCATCCTCTGAATCATCCGAGCCAGCCAGCAGCCATCAGTTCAACTACAGAGGGCTGATGAATCTGACAGTATCATTTTTAACAGCATAGATATCCAGCTAGCAGTATCAGAGCATCCTTCTTGTAGCACACCAGGTCCAACTTGGTATTTCAGAGGAGTATGTTTTGCTTTTCACATCACCACTACCAGAAGAGAAAGCATGACAGACAACTACCTGATTTCACAAAATTACAGGAAATAAATGAATAAAGTCTCTGAGAGTGCATAGGCAGCGCAGCCTAGGCATTCTGTATTCACTCTAATTAGTTTCTTTGGAGCAGATTGCTTTCAATAAGCTCAAGAAAATTGAGCTTGATTCACTGGAGACAATCTGGGTTCAGTTGTTAACCTTTTAGCCTTTAAATATGGAAGTTTCTTTAAAATCTATAACATTAACAAGTGCACTCATCAATAGAAATCAAGGTAGCATCAAGACATGATTTTCTTTTTAATACCAAAACAATTCAAAAATGAAAAAAAGCCGTATTTTTTCACCAATTAACAAAGTCAGAATCTGCCTGAATAAGACTGGAGAAGAGACCTCAAGTATTTCTACGCTACAACCGTTCCCAAATTTGGATAGAATCAACAATACTACTAAACAAGTGCAGGCTTATCCACATGCCCCAGGGATGCTGCTGGCCAGTACTTAGTGAGGGACGGAGGCATGACAGACAGCCAGCCCATTCCCAGGCCAGCTGATGTGATTAGGGCTGGCCAGCCTGCCCATTCCTGCAGAGGCTGCATCTGTTCATGAGCACTCTTGCATTAATAGTCAGATTCCTGCTTACCAGCTCCGAGATGCTTTCTAACTGAGGTAAGCCGAGTCCTCATAATTCTCAAGCACCTACAGTTGCCCTGAATGACACTACAACTAGGGAAAATATTCCTGTCACAGAGGTCAGATGACCACCAGAATCAGCAGTGACAATATACTAATACAATAAATCGTTCTAACAGTTTCAGAATTGCTTGCTTTTGAATCAATTCCATTACAACAACATCTAAGAAGAAAAAAGCACGCAGGAATCCATCCAAAAGCTTCTGCTGACTCAGATGCAGTTAGGTGGGTTTAAATTTCCCTCTGGGGAACTAGATCTTTTGCCTTAGTATAAGAACCAGAACAAACGTATCAAAAGGATCAAAACAAAATTCTAACCTTAGTGCAGAAAAGTTTATGAAGGAAACTTAAACTGCATAAAGAAAACAGCAACTTTCTGATGATGCCGAAATTGATTTTGTTCTATACTTCGTGGTTTTCATCCAATAAAATTAAATTGACTTATATTTTCCTCTTCTGTGCTCAAAGATTTTAGTCTTTCTTGTCTCCCATGGCCCACTGTGAGCAAAATGAGCTATTAAAATCAATGTTATGGTCATCTATTAGTCAGCTAATAACAGGAGCGAGCAATTATCCAAGGTAAAGAATGTAGCTCATAAAGGAGAAAGTAAAACCTTGCCTACGATTAGATAGTAACAGGCTGCAAAAATATTATTTTACAGATGCCAAGAAATAGAGCTTCACTATAAAAAATGCTAAGTACCTTTATGTTACCCATAGAAGAGAAGCCATTAGCTGCATTACTTACAAGCTTGGAAATGGAAGAAATGTGGAAAGAGTGTTATCTCTAATAGTGATTAAGTTC